TGTTTGTAACCACTTTCTTTACTTGCGTAGACCGCACCGACGTGTCAGCCGAGGTGCCACGTGTCCTGGTCGTGACGCCGAGGTGATCTCGGCAAGGCCGAGGTTATCTCCGAAGATATCGGAATCTGAGATAAGTGGATAAGGGACAAGAGTTCTAGAATGAAAAGGGAACTCAACTTGGATGAGGGACAAGAGTCCTAGAATGAGAGAAGACTTCAGTTTGTATTAAGATAAGACTCTTAGAGAGTTTATCCTAATCTTACTGGGAGTCCAGGATTAGCAGTAATCCTGAGTCCATAGAAGTTAGGCTTCTATTGGGACTAGGTTTATGTTGGCTATAAAAGAGAGGCACCCCCATGGGTCTAAGGTATGCTTTTGATACTCAAGCATGTGAGTTTAGCATTTTTGATTATCTTTGAGAGATATACTGACTTGATCGTCGGAGTGCCCCAGGATGGTCGAAACCACCGCGGGATTCTTATATTTCTGTTTCAGGTTAGTCAGGTGCCATCTATTCTGCCAGTGCTCTCCAGCTGGTTACTAAGCGGGCAGTGTGGTCGGAAAGTTTTACTTTTTTCAACTAAAGTAGACACAACTTGTGCAGTAATAATTCATGGGCTTGCTCCTGTAACTATAATAGAATATTTAACTATTTTTGAAAATTCATTTAAGAGTTGAACATCCTCTCTGTCAATTTCCACAGTATCCACACTTCCAAACTCAATCTAGTGTGTCTTAATTTTATTCACTGGTAACTTAGAACTTGGCCAATCATAATTCCAGTTTAAGAAGTTCTTCATGTTCATTCTCCCTTTCTTCAATTTGCTTGATTTTTCAATAAGATCATTTGGAAAAAAATATTTCTATTTCTTTTAAAACAAAAATTATGTTTTCCCTGTCTTCCATTATATCATCATCACGGTATATGACATTATGTTCTTTTTCTAAGAACCCAACATAATTAGTAATAAAACTGAAAATTTTGCACAAATCCTTTCTTTTTTTATTGCATAGTGCAAACTCGCCACCTTGGACTTGCGGGAGAATGTGAGGATTTCCCTGTAGCAAAAAATAAAATAAAAATAGTGCAAACCAAAAGTTTTTGAAAAGTGTTTTGCTTTCTAGTCCCCTAGCCTAAGATTGTAAAACAAAGTTTCAATTATCGAAGAGGTTTCTACCATACTCATCTTTTTTCTTCAGATTCTTTGAGTTCGGACGTTAACTCATCCTTTCACTCCTTTGATTATTCTCTTGTTAAGAATTCTTTTGAATATTTCGCTTTATAATTCATAATCTTTTCCGTTGTTTCGCAATTTCAACCATGCATGCCTTGCCAGCTGAAGAATTTTTAAAATTTTTCATTATACAATTCTCTACTTTGTGACCTAGTTTGTTGCAAAAAATTATTTTAAAATTTATGTGATATCTTGTTTCTGCATTTTTGAAACTACCACTCCAATATCCATATGTTTGTTCTTCAGATTGATTAGGGGTAATGATTTTGATACTGCTCCCCAATTATTTCAGAAGCATATACTTGTAAGATTAATTTATCTCCTCGGTTAGATAAACTTAGTTTTTTTCTATATCTTTAGGATTATAACTTCTTCTTCTTTTTTTCATTGATAGAAAAACCAAGAGATAGAAAACACAAAAACTAGAAAACACTCAAGATTCCTCAAGCAAAGGACCCTCTAGCCACGCAGAAGGGGTAGCATTCCATTCAATGCTCTCAACTCCATTAATAGCAAAGCTCGCCATTTTATGTGTCACTATGTTCTACCCCTGACAGATGAAACCAAACTAACACTCCTTCAAACCCCTCTGTAAACATAACACATCCTTAACAACAACTGTGACACTACCATCAATGGTTGTGGTCTCATTAAGTATACTCGCCACTAGTTGAGAATCACCCTCCATAATGATGCAAGAAAAACCTAATCCCACAACCAACAAGATTGCTGCTCGAGCTGCTATGGCCTTTTTCACTAACGTAGACTTCACATCCTCTACATGGAAAGTCCATCCAACAACAGAAACACCATAAACATTCCTAAGAACAATGCCCACACCGCCCATTGTTAAATTCTATCGCCAAGCCCCATCAAAGTTGATCATCGTGCTCCCGATTGGTGGGTATGCAACGCCCCCAAATAAATGACATAAGACAACCAATTAATCCATCCATCAACAATTTCAGTATGGTTAATTAAATCTCTAAATTCATAATTCTTTTCTATGAGAGATTTACAAAAGAGATCCACATGCATTACACAATCAAACTCTCCTAAGCTAAATCCATGTACAATAACAAGAATCACACAACAAAGAAATGCCTCAAGGGCTACATGTTCCGAGACTCAAGCCTGGTTACACAAAAGTGGTTACTAACCCATACAAAAAAAAGCCCTTAGCTTGTCAAAATAATAAAAAAGAAAAGAGCCTCGTACTCCCAAAAGATTTTTCCACACCCTCAGTTAGGCGGTATCACCACATCATTTCCTACATTTTAAGAGGCACTTAAATTTTCAAGTGATATCAATTGTGGTTATCAAACAAGCTTAATTGCTTATCACTTAATACATTGAGTTTTAAGTGCTGAATTAAGTTATCAAACACCCCCTTAGTTTCACTATTAATATCATCTCCAAATACTTGTTGCCAAGTTTTTTATTAATTGTCAATCATTTTGAGCTCACCACGCTAGACTGCATAAAGAGGTTCAATAGGTGTCAAAAAAATTGGTTTTATAAGTTTAACATGAGATCTCTGAACAACCTTTGTCTCCCAGGCCTAGAGAAAGATGAAGAAAAGAAAGTGCATAGTGTGGCAACCCTTAACAATGGAATTGAGCTTGGCCTTGTCTCAGCCTTAATAAGCAGTTGAATCCTCTGACACCTTATCTTTGCTTCCAAGCAACTCCAAGTCATGTTTCCACATCCGACATCTTCCAATCCCTGTTACCCATCTCCTAGGATTAGTTCTTATATTAGGAATTCTAGGAGTGATATTATTTCCCAATCCAATTGCTTTTGCCTTTTCATTGGGATTGGTTTTTGTTTGTATATTATTCTATATTCTATTGAAGCATCTTGGTGGGCTAGCTCATAGTAGGTTTTTTTGTTTCACATGTCGAGCTTCGACCTATTGAATTGAAGTGAACTCAGGCCTTTTTGGTCCTATCGAATCTTCCTTTTCTGTATGAGAAGAGGTAAGGAAACGTAGTGTTTTAGTCTTAACTTCTTCTATTATATAAGGTATGGATACCCAAGTTTTTGGAATGTTCCATAGGCAAAGCCGTGTGCAATGAAAAATGCAAGCATGACTTAAGGAGGGGTTTTTGCTTTGTTTAACAAAGAAATTATCTACTCCATCCGACTAGTTCTGGGTTAAAATCTCGGGCAACTTATTGTCATATTGAAGTGACTCAAGGACCAACGGACGGAGATCAAGCATGAAGCAACACATCAACCCCTTGATGAGTAAGCTCCATAAGCTAGCTCTTTGTTGGTTGGCCTAATCCCATTTTACCTACTAATTAGAGCTAGGAATCCTAGAAGCTAAAAGAGTCAAGCAAGAAAGCCTACTTGTTTCCACAGGTTTGTTTAGGAGACTAGCATTTCTTTTCTTTTCTTTTCTTTGAGAATTCCTTTAGTAAGTTCAAGTCATTCTGAAAGCTAGTTCCTGAGTTCATGACTTCAAAAGTGAAGTAAGGTCGTTTGGCTTCCACTCCAGTTGACCTCTGCCCTTTCTATGCCTTCAACAATGAGATTTCAAAAGACTTTGATTCTTTTTATAAAAAATATAAATAGAAATTCTCAGCATGTACTAGAACTAGAACATTGTAAACTCAAGACTGTCACTCTCACTTGTAAACCTCTTTCATCAAGTGTGCGATCATGATAGAGTAAGTCCTTCCATAAGTAGAAGGCAACAATCTAAGGGATGCAATAGTTTGTATGCAAAGCATCCTGTAATAGTCCCTTTCTTTAATAGGAACTTCCAGAATGTGCTATTTTCCAACTGAAATGGAATATTACTTCTGAAATTGCATTGTACATCCAGAATAGTCCTAAGAAGACATGATCCCGAGCCGATGCCTGCCCTGTCATGGGAGGTATTGTCCGTAATGCTTTGCAGTTGCCTCTTACGATATTCGAACCAATCCTCCAGTAATTTCTTTGAATTCTGCAAAGCCAAATTTACATTGTTGAGAGGCATGTTTAAGTAATGAAATTTTAGGCATTTGGGAGTAATATGGGATTAATCTTGAAGAAAATGTCTTCCTTTTTTTTTTTTTTTTTTTTTTTGAGAAATGCATTTCCAACCAAAAAGTCTCCATGTAAAAATGAGAATTGAGTTATTCTTTCCATAGAAAATTCTTTTTAATTAAGAATGACAGGAACATGATAGCTTTCATATTCTATGGTTAGAAATTGATAATTTGCCAATTTTAATATAGTAAAATTTTCATATAGAACTCATTTGTCTAGAAGTAAAAGTCCAAGTTTTGCCAAACTATATGAAACACTAGTATCAACTAATGCAACAATAGTGTAAAAATGATAGCCTGAAAAAATGAATAATAATTCAACATATTTTGAATTATTCTTCTACTCTTTTTTGGAGTTCATCACCTGATAATCATCTTTCCATCAATTACTTATTTATAGTGATAGACAGATTATAGAAACCATTTTTAGGTTTTGTTGTTCTTCTGTTGATGTTTTTGATGAAAATTTGTTTGTAATATGGATACTTATTATTTTGTATCCTATTATTTTGTTTATTTAAACTTTCTTGTATACTATATTCTTCTATTATATCCTTATCTTTAGTTTTTGTTCTTTCTACGCTACTTGTAGAACTAGATGGAGTAAGAAGATCACTTGTTGATTTTCGTCTAAGTTCTTTAGAGAAACAATACCTCTTTTTTCTTGAATTGTTAAATTTTCAAGATTTTTTTCAATTTGAAAGTTTTTCAATAATCTATTTCTTAGGCCATGATAATTGTTTTACATTTACCTTTCTAGATTAAAATTTATTAGTACGAGCATTATTTCTCAAATAACTACATTTCATGTACAAATTTACTAAGAGGATTATCTATATTAACCACTCAATATATAAGCCTATAATTAATAGCTATGTTTTTGTTTTGGGTGTTAAGGTCACTCATACCTTCAATTTGTTTTTTTTGATCCGTTAATGACTACAAGTCCTAATAGTATTATCGTCCAAGGGAAATTTACAATTTATCGATTAGCATAGTCTCTCTCATACTTGCACGAATCATCTCACGACAAAACTCATCTCTCCTACCATAGACTATCTTAACCGAGAAAAGTAAATCAATGAAAATCGTTATATAAGTATGCAATTAGAATCACATAAACTAAGAACATATGCTAAATATGAAGATTCAAAATAAATTAGTAAAAAAAAAAAGCCTTAATCTTATATAACTATTGAATCAATAATAAAAAAAACCTTTACTTAACTAGTGTTTAATCCAAATCCTAAGAGAAGCTCTTTAGTTATGCATATGTAATGCCCTCAAAAAATATAAAGTCCGACCCGATATAAGTAAACTCGAGTGATGGTGACAAGGCCATAATAATTATAATAAACTAGAATCTCTCTCAAATAAATGCATGCATATGAAGGTCATATAATACATGAGAATCATGGAATATTGTGAGACCCATAAAATCCTCTCAAAACTAGATTTCAACAACTTCAAAAATTTCAATTTCTAAAAATTTGATCTATTTCGCAATTATTGGTGAACTTCGGTAGTTCGTGGCTCTTCTAGTTGGTAGGTCTGGACTCCTCTAGTTGACACAAACCCTCTGGTATATTTGGATCTTGATTTTGCCACCTTCAAAATCTTGAGAAATTTGATACCGTGCTTTGTTTCTTCAAAATTTTTGAAAAGTGGCCCGTACTAGATTTGATACCACTAATGGAAATGAATTATGAAAATTTCCTTTATATATGCTTTGATACCATGCAAGTCTAAGTCTGTCAAGAAGCGTAATTGATGAGGGCATGATGCATGCTGTTGAGCAAGCTTTTGAGATGTGTTTTCGAGCTGGTGGATAATGTCCAAGGAACTTCCAATTTGCTGAGTTAGTATGACTTGATTTTCGGTAATTGCTTTTGCATGGTGGTGTTGCGAGTGCTCAGCGACAACGTTGTTGGAGTGAAAGGGTGACACCATGGAGCTGGTTGGCCAAGCAATTCTTGTTGTATTGCCAAAAAGTTGCTCTCATGAAGAAAAAAGTAGACTCAATTTCTAGAGAGAGACAATGGGCACTTAAACTCGGTCAGCAACTTTTCTTGGTCATTAGCTTGCGAGAACATTTCTAGAGAAACAATCAAGACCCAGTTGTAGGTTTTTGAGATGCACGTTGCTCGACGTCGCCACGAGGATGACTATGGCATTGCAAACTGAAGTTGAGGTGAGTTGGTTGTTGTTGTTGCTCATTTCAAGTCGACAACCCTTTGAGGAAGTGTCAATAGCTCTATCTCCATGTACGGTTGAATTTTTTTCTTGGTGTCATCATCTTTTCGGCATTGTAGTTACCTAGAAATCGGATGTCGTAGACATGGTCCAATTGTCGAAATGATAAATGAGGGCTAAGAGACCATCATTAAATCACAAGGTTGCAGTAATGGGTTGCTAATTTGAACCCACAAGATTAGGTCCAAGAAGTCATCATCTATCTGAGCCAAAACAATGGTTGCTCGTTGCTAGGTAGACTCACTTTTATGATACATGCTGAGTAAGAGGTAGCAGCTGAAGTGATGCCGACTGAGAGAATCGCCCTTGGACCATCTTCTTTGTACATCTACTGCTGTTGAAAGGTTCATATTTCTATGCTTAGCTATTTTGATTGTTCCTTAGCCACAACAGATGCCTTCGCGAGAGGAAATGGTATTGAACAATCTTTGAGAGAGAAAATTAAGACCCAATTGTAGATCTCTTAGCATTATGGTGTCTGATTTTTATTTTTATTTTTATTTTTTTTCTTGTAAGGTTATCCAAAGCTATTTCCAAGATGGAACGATTCCATATTAATAAACCTACAATCAGAAGTAACGTGAAACAATGATTCGAGCGGTGGTGTTTGTTATCTTATTCATTGAATTCTTTTGGTCTTTCCCACAAACAGTGCCAATTGTGAGAACCATAAAATCCTCTCACATGAATTGTTGAAGAGATCCAATGAAGAGATGAGCTTTGTCCCGTAAATCTGCAAAGACAAACATGGTTGACGCCACCCGATTGGGGTTGCCGCCCGAGGACACTCCGATGATCAAGTTAGAACCCTTGAATCAAAGAGAATAGATGAACTTGTAAAGTGTTTGTGTGTGTCTGTCGCAGAAATGAAGCATACCTCTCTTCTATGGGATGCTCTCCTGGGATATTTTGGGGTACCACAAATACAATGAAAATTAAAAGTTCCCTCAAGCTTACATTAACAAAAGAGAAAGGGTGTAGCCCTTTATACACATGGCATTCCAGCTACAAGTAAAGGCCCTATGGCCACAATAGGCAATTTCTTTAATTCAGTAGGCAATTGCTTTAATTCCAATTAGTATACTCCATACATGTATATGATCGTGATACTCCACATTATACGTATATAATATGTCAATTTCTCATTTATACTCAAAATACACAATTTTCTCATACATATGCTCTTATTCCCTACAACATATATATATATATACATGCTCAATCTACAACGCACATAGCACATAACTCATTCCGATACAATGCATGATCTAAAACAATTCTCAACACACACCTTCAATAACAAAGGATCTCGATGCATATATATATATACTAATGATGAATCTCAAACACAATCACTTCTCCATGGCCTCGCTAAGCCCCACACAACAGTCCCATTTTACTGGTTGCTAGCCAGAAGGAATGCGATAATTACATATACCACTAACCACTTTACTAGTTGCTAGCCAAAAGGAATTATCTCTATATACCGTAGTCCACTTTATCGGTTGCTAGCCAGAATGAACGGGTTACCTCTACATAGCACAATCACAATATACATAACAATGCATCTCAATTTTCTTTTCATTCATTCATTTTCATTCAACTATTCAATTGTATAATTCATAAATTTAAGCGTCTTTATCACCACATTAGTCTCTATCTCATTACCCAATTATAAATTAGGTTTCAATTCACTGTAGGTTGGAAATATTTCTACAACAATGCAATCCTCCACCGATTGCCAAAAAAAGTTATCTCTATTAAGATATTGCAATTAGGCAATATTAGAGTATAGTTAATAACAATGTATCATATTATTCTCTACGAATTTGATAAACATATAAAGTGGAACACTTCGCAAATCATTAGCAATCTCAATCAATTGCTCAAAATACATACTCTCTATACTTATCATCCCTTCAATTAATAAAATTAAATTCCAATTTCCCAAAATGATTGTATATCTCCAAGTTCTCTTACTCATAAAATCTATATAAAAATAATAGAGCTTTCTTTAAGAAAATTTGGGCTTTTCTAGTTCAAAATATCCATCAATTCCAAGACTATTAAATTCACATTTGATAGAGAATATTTAAGAAATACACAACGCAACGAAACCCTAGGTTTTCATTACACATGCTTTGTAATCTCTACAAAATTTCTAAAATTTATATAATGAAAATACTACATGTCCATTCAGGAGAACGATATTAAAGGGAATTAGAGAAATCCCTACCTCTTGGAGAGAAGAGAAGAACCAAGAAGAAAAACTCCCAAACTCAGATTTATTGAAATCTCAATCACTTCAGTTGAAACAACACCCTTGACACGCTCGTTGCTTTGGTCAAAGAACTAGTGCCAAAATCTCCTTCGATTTTCTTGAATTAAAGAATTTGTGTAGTTTTGTGTAGCTTTATAGAAAGAAGGGTGAGAAAAGAGTTTAGAGAGAGAGTACATAAAAGTGATGAAAAGAAAGAAAGAAATCAAATTTTTAGTGTGTTATGCACAAAATTCGAGGAAAAAACGTAATAGGCTACATGTACGGTGGCCTGTTGGCCATACATGCGGTTTACTAGAGTGTGAAACTCCTCTACTGCTCCACCTTGTCGTACGTGCACGCCCAACCCACTGCACGTGCAAGACTGCCTATTGTGAATAAATCTCCATCAACGTACTTCTACACTATGGCCAAAATTCAGAAAATTTAGTTCGCCAAAACAATAGAATCAACAAACACGGCTACAACCGCAATTTTGAAGACATTAAACTATGTGTAAGGCTCTAAAACTAAAATGACAAGCCTAAATATTTTAATTCAAGTCGGTTCAAGACCCGGAACATCACACATATCTTCGTAGCCTCTGCTTTCTTTCTTTCTCTAAAATCATGAACAACCCAACTTTATACTTTTTTCGATATCAAGTACTTTTAGTTATTTTAAATAGGAACATAATAGTAATAAAAAAGTTTCATTAAATTGGAGGTGTCAACCAAAAAATTAGGTTGGGCACCCCAATTAAAAATTTAAACTTTTAATTATTTTTTTGGACACCTCAAATAATACCTATTATGCTCCTAAAAATCCTAGAAATATACTAGAAATCTACTAGAAATCTTCTTTCTATACCCCATTAGTCTAATAGTTACAATAGAGGCACAAACTCATCCTTCGTGGCAAAGTCAACCTGTCATCTACAACACCCCCGTTGCCAACCCGCCATCTCCAATCCCACTTCGTCTCCAAACCCTATCGTTTAGGATATTTTGGAATTTTATCAATTTGGGGCCTTTTGATTTTGATTCTTTGAAAAAAGTGAGTTCTACAGTTTCTTTAGATACTTAGTGCTGAATAAATAAAATATATTTGGAAACTTCGTTGTGAACAATAGAAAATTGGTTCTAGCTTTTTCATTCGGATACTCAATGCTGAACAAATTGAATATGTTCATATACTCAGTTCCGGGGAAAAAAAAAAAAAAAATTGGTTATAGCTGTTCCATTTGGATACTTATGAAATTGCTTTGAATACTTGATGCCGAACGTTTGAAACATGTGCGGATACTCAGATCCGAACAATATAAAATTAGAACATAAATAATACCAGATATAATATTGGATAGTTCTTTTTGTTTGAAATTGGAATATGAAGAAGTTAAAAAATTATATGTTCAGAAATACAGAGTCGAACACTGACAATTGTTCGGATATTAAATATTAAACAATGACCATTATTTCGAAAACACACTGCCAAATATATGAATTTTGTTTATAAATAAGTTTCTGAATAAGTGTAATTTGTTTGGTATTGAATTTCTGAACAAATTTCGTAAACCCAATAGTTGAAAACGATGAACATGAATAGAAAACTTAACTTCTTTATAAAAAAAAATTACTTAGAAATGTCTTCTTCATTATCCATTGTTAGATTCAATATGAAATAAAATGCAAGAATGATAGATTCAAGCAAAATAGGGTTGAACAAGAAGATGCAAGGTAAATGGGGTGTCCAAAACACTTTGATTTGTATTTGTTCCAATATTAGTACTTTTTGATCATTTTAATTAGGGACATCATAGTATTTTTTTTTTTATTATTAAGTTGGGATGCCCAACCTAAGGGTAATTCTATTTACACACCACAATTCTCTTGGTACACACCATTACTTTGTACACACATAATAATTTTTGGGGTTTGAAAATATTTTAGTTCATACCGTAACTTTCCATTACTAACCCTAAGATAACACACTACCAGTATCTTTGAATACACAACACAACCCACGCCTAAATATCTCCATATTTAGAACACCAGAGACCTCCATCTTTAGAACACCATAGATCTCCGTCGTTCGCGTTGTTGATCTCCATCTTCAGCGTTGTTGATCTCCATCGCCAGGAAAGGGTTTTGATTCTCATCACTTCAGATCTCCATCTTCGGCGTTGTCTCGCCATTGTTTTGTCGGTGCATTGTTGGCGTTGAAGATTTGTCATTCTCACCATTGATTCACACATTTGATTCTCACCTGAATATGTTTTTCCTATCTTCTTTTGATTTGGTTACCGATTCAACTTATATTGTAATTTATATTTCAAGTTTGGTTCAACTCTAATTGTCTGAACATAATATCATCGAACAAAAAAATAAAATTGAACAAATTGAATATGTTCGAAATATTTATGTTGAACAAAATAAATACATTCATACTTTATATGTTGAACAATTCGTTCAGACTTATTATATTAAACATTATTTATATGTTTGTTTTTATTTTGTTGAACATATATTAAATTTTATATGTTATTTATTTATTTATTTTGTAAATGTTCAATACAATTACTTTTTGTAAAAAAGAAAAAAAAAAACCAAAAATAAATTAAATTATTGAATTGAATTAAATTTGAGAAATGAAATTCTTAAGGAATTAAAATGTTCAATTTTTTATGTAAGAACATTTATAATTTGATCAACCTTAATAATTTGAACAAAATTGTTTGGTTCGAATAAAAATAATTGAACATTGTGTAAAAGTTCAACTCTAGTTATCTGAACACGTGACGAACAAAGTTATCTTCCCAATGACTATACGAACGAGATAAACAAAAAAATCAAAGCTAAGTAGTAAACTGATCTTTTCATTGTTGCATTGTTCGAAATCAACAATCTCAGTATCATCCATGGTGTGTAAATGTTCAAAACTAATCGATTTTAATGTTCTTAAACCTTAAATCTTTAAAATCAATAGATTTCAATATTCTTAAACCCTAAAACTTTAAAATTAATTTATTTTGGATGTTTTATTTTAGATGTTTTTATGTCTATAGGTGATAATTGTCACGACCCGAACCCGCCCCTATGGGTTAAGGCCATAACCGGCCAGTAATCGCGAGATTACCTACGGCCTCAATGTCAAATAAAACAAAACTTATCAGAGTAAAGGGGCCAAACAGAAGCAAAATTAAAACTTTGTCCATAGAGCTGTGCTTATATGCACACCATAACATTCCAAACATTTATATGTTAATAACTCACATCAAAATATGTACTAACACAGAACACTGTACATACAGGATCATACAAGTTTAAGTCAGTCAAACCCAAGACTTATATACAAAAGTAGTCCAATGCTTTCGCCAACGTAACAAAACTATGAACAAAGGACAAAGGCGAAGACAGTCTCGTGCATGAGACTCTTGGGCTGACTCCTCAAAACTTTGACTGTTTCTCACAATTTCACCTAGGCTGGTTCTGGACGTCCCTTGGCTCACTAACATGTACATGAATGAGCGTGAGCGAAAGCCCAGTGAATAATATCGAATAAAGAAGATACATAAGCAATCTTTGAAACAGTTACAGCAGACGGCCTTTGGCCCAATCACTTGTATTAATCGGCCTTCGGCCCAATCATTTATGTCAATCGGCCTTTGGCCCAATCATTCATGTCAATCGGCCTTCGGCCCAATCATTTATGTCAATCGTTATCCACCATTCAAATTAATGAACTTACAAAACATACATAGAAGTAAACAATTGGACAACAACACATTTCAAATATCTTGTTAAGGCATTACTCACAGTGATCGGCTTGTGGATTTACCCTGGAGCTTGACCCTATACATTCCATGAACACAAAAGGGTCACAAACAATTCGATCCGTTCTAAATTCACATTTTCCTCTTTAGGCCTCATTCTTATCTCTTTAACTCAATTACAATGCTCAATGCATGCCTAAGAGTACTTGGAAGTGAAAGAGAACAGAAAATGAAACACAGAATGTCTTTTCAAAATTTCAGAAAACAGGGTCCCCGCTCGAGCGAACCCTTGAGGTCTGCAAAAGTACTGGATGCATCAAAATTACGCTCGATCGCGAACTATGGCATTCGAGCGGAAGGCCTCTCTACATGGCTCCCCGCTCGAGCGAAAACCATGTCTGCAGAAAACACTGGGAACACAAAATTCACGCTCGAGCGGCGGTTTCCCCGCTCGAGCGGACATCAAATTTTTTGGGTTTTCCAGAACGTGTTCTTGAGCTCCAATTCGACATTCAACCAACATTTCTTGCATGCAATAGCTCAAACTTCAAATACACTTGTACTAATATGGTATTAACCCCAAATTACAACCCAATGAAGCTCAATTTCACAAATAAATCACATGCATGTCCCAATCTTCACCAAATTCACTTTCAACATAACAATTTCATACATTCAAGCTCATACCTCTTATGAATGGTACATGCATGTGAGATATAACTTCCATTTCAACTCAAATTGTACAAATGGTGGTCACAAGCATGGATTCTAGCTACAATTTTACATGGATCATATTTTTCATACTCAATTATGCAAATTCATGGTTACTATGCACATGCATGCATTCCATGACTTCAAATACAACAAAATCCACCCAATTTCCTTATGATCAAACTAACTCATGTTCTGGACCATTAATCAAACTTGAATTCACAATTTACAAACAAAAAATCCATGAGTCAATGGTTGGTTACTCACCTAGGAGCCTTGATTCTCACAATTGTGGCCAAGTCTTGCACCTAGCCTTCCCAATTCATAAATTATAAGCCAAAATACACCCAGATGCCTCCTTTCCCTCTCAAGGTCGGCTCTCTCTCTTTTCTAAGACACAAATTCTAATTTTTGAGCTCAAGTGAGTGAATTCGGTGTAGTGCCTTTCCTTACATAAGTCCCACTAATTCCAATTTATTAATATAAAACAATTGGGCACTTAATTCGTTAATTTAATCTAATTAATTTGATCCGAATCAATTTCCAATTAGATTTCACTGTAGGTTCTAAAAATTACGCTAATCATAATGGCGTAATCAATTTCGGGTTCTGTGGCCGATAAGGCCTTCAATTTAATTTCCAAAGCAGATAATCAAACATATATTCCTACGGTGAACAGATAGAAATTCAAAACTACATATTTTCACATAATGGCACACAAAATCACATTAAACACATAATCATATTCATA